CCCGGCCCGGTCCCTCAAGCTTGTTTGGGGGAGCCTCCCTGTGGAGGAGGTAGGTCGCACAGGTGCAGTCACCTGGGGGTGTTGGAGAGAGCAGAGGTGAACCGTCCAGCAGCTCTATGACCCGAGCTCTCCACACCCCGAACCTTTCTCTCTCCCCGAAACGCCAGGCAGATCAGTGCTTTGAAATTCACCTTCCAGGTGTGTTGTCCAGGAAGCGAGCTTTTTCTAAAGGATGGCTGCTCCTTGATGGGAATTAGGAGCGTCTTAGATCTTTTCTGAGATGTCGGCTGGATGGCGCATGGAGTTTGGGGTGTGTAGGGTCACTTTTGCCACTTGGAAGTGGGGATGAAGGGGCTGCCCGCTGTCCTGTGAAGCGTCCCTCTAAAGTGGGGCATCAGAGAAGACCTCAGGTCTGTTCCGTAGAACTCAGGCTCCCTCATGAAAACATCCCAACTTTCTAACCTGCTCTCACGTTTAGGCTGGAGAATAGACTGTTGACTTGGCTGCCTTCAGCTTTGAGGCAGTTGAAGGACTCCAGTATGCTCTTTGGGTGAAGTTGGTTTTAATAGTGTTATTTCTTAACCCACTGCATCCAAAGTCTTGTTTCGGTATAAAGGCCTTTCACCTTCGTTGTAGGGCTGAGTCTTTGCAGTCAGTGTGTTTCACACTTAAACGGCACATCTCATTGTGAAGTCGGTGCTGGGAGCCACTGTGGCGAGTGTGACCGTACATAACACAGGTGTAACTGCCTGCCGTCTGCATTACGGTTAACATTTTACTTCCCATTCTCTCTGGTTCTCTCTTGTCCTTCTGTCCTTTGTGACGTGGGACTCTCTCTCTCCTCAGCCATCAGATGACCTGCTCCAGGGGCTCCCTGCCTGGTCCCTTTTGGGCTGTCCGAGCTCTTCCCGTGTGTCCGCTGTCCAGAGGCCACCAAAGCACAGTGGCCGTCGCTGACACTTCAGACCCGTTTTGCTCCTGGATGCATTGCTCCAGTGGGTCGCCTCAGAGACGACAAGGACCAGCTTTTGTCCAAAGCATTTTCAAAGGCTTTTGTGTATCCTAGTTTGAGTTAGTGTGTGGATTCTTTTGTGTGGCATCAACTCCTCCCATGACTTGGGCATTTACATCTCTCGAAAAGTGAGTCTCAGGATCCATGGCTAAAGCGTGCTTTCCTAGTCATTTGTTCCCTGGGCGAGTGCTATGTACTTTAAATGCCTTAAAAGAGGAGCTCTAATTTGGAATGTTGGCTACGAGTCCCATTAAACTCGTCCTCAGCCGTCTCCTGTAGCTGGGTGACCACCCCGGTTGTGAGGCTGCTGAGGGAATCTTGGCCACGAAGTGCACCCATCCCCCCTTTTGGTGTTCCAAAGTGAGACGGTGCTGCAGAATGACTGGAAACAGGAGAAAGTGCCCATCCCACCATCATCGTCTTGGGTGCGCTGCCTTCCATTGTTGTATACAAGTCATGAACTTACCCAAGTTTTTAGATACTCTTGGGTGTTCATGTAGGAAAAATTGTGCAAAACTAGACACGTATAATTCTGTGTACACTTCTTAACCTGGGTGTACTTTTCATATTGCTTAAATATTATTATGATTTTTAATCTCTTAGCCCATTCAGCTTGCTTAATTAACCATTTTTCTACTGTTGGACATCAGAATTGTTTCCTAGTTATTGTAATCACAAAAAATTTAACAGTTCTAGGAAGTGGATTACTTGAACAAGCACCAATATTTGTGGCCAAAAAGGGTTTCTTGCACTGATACTCAAATTGGCATGCATATGCATCCTTGGGATCTTAACTGTGTCATTGGGTATGATCGATTTTTCAATTTTTAAAAAATGATTATAAGTGAAGGTGTATCATTTACTACTCTGTTCGTGTCTTTTTTTCTCTCCTGGGAGGCTGAACACATTCTCACTTTTTGTTTATCTGTGAAAAGTTTTTTCTTAATTTTTATGAATTCTTTATGGAATAATTAGCCCATTGATAGTCGCGCCACTTAATTTGTTATAACTTGGGATCGTGTATAAAAACTAGGATTTTGATTATTGCTTGAAGTTTTGCAAATTAATTTGTTTTTAATTTAGGGAAATGACACTGATTTTCTTCTCTTTGTTTTCTCCTAGATACTCTCTAAGTGGCGGAGGAACTTCATCCCGCTGAAATCCCCGTGGCAGTTGGGTTTTGTGTTTTTTCCTTTTTTTCTTCATTCTCTTCCTTTTTAAAAGTCAACGAGAGCCTTTGCTGACTTCGCTGAAGAGGAGCGCCATCGCGGGGGGCCACCCCCCCCCCCACAGCGAGGTCGCCGGTCCAGGGCCTGATGAAGTCTCCAGGTGGGGTGGGGAGGGTCAGCTCCTGCGAGCGAGTATCTTATTTTATTATTCTTGTTTTTAATTCTAACCATAGTGCACATATCAAGGAAAGTGTCTTTAGAAACAAAAATAAACCCTGAAATGTATATTTGGGATTATGATAAGGTGACTGAAGAAATGAAACCTCAGGTATCCTGCTTTACGTTGGTAACTCCCCCTCCCTGGGAGACGGAGAATCGCTCTGGTGGATCAGTGTACAGATTTGTATATAGTGTCATTTTTAAGGAAACCCTTTTGGCGTGCATAGGGATCACTGTGTACACACTGGCCAAGTGCTTCTGTAGATACTGTCAGTGGGGTAAATATTTGACAGGCCGTAACTCGAGTCTATTGCCTTGCCTTTATTACATGTAAATTTTGCATGTGGGATCTTCCCGGACCGGGGCATGAACCCGTGTCCCCTGCATGGGCAGGCGGGCTCTCAACCACTGCGCCACCAGGGAAGCCCTGGGTTTTACTTTGTATTTGCAGGGTTTGCCATTAATAATAATTAACGCCCCTCTTATGGAACACTCCTATATTTGTACCTCAACAAATGCAAATTTTCCTCGTTTGCCCTACGACCCTTTGGTACACTTAGAAGTTGATTTCCTTTTTCATCGATGGTACTATTTCTTAGTGTTTTAAATTGGAACATACCTTGCCTCCTTGAAGCTTTAAATTATTGTTTTAAATTTCTCCCCGATGAAGTGTTCTCGTCTCACTCTCATTCGTGCCCTGCCAGCCCTGCGCCAGCTGTACCGTCCTTCCAGTAGGGTTTTCTGTTGCACCTTGTAGTGAAATCTGCGTATCATCTTTCCCACCTAAACATGTCTGAATGCTTACACAAATAAATTTTATAACACAGATTTTGCATACTCTCCTTGGAACGTGACTCTTGAGAGGGCAGTGCACCTGCTGTGTGTGTGTGTGTGTGTGTGTGTGTGTGTGTGTGTGTGTGTGTGTAGCCTCCTGATGACTCACAGCTGAGTCCCTCCTCAGGAACTTACCTCAGCCCAAATGGAGCTGCCTCGCTTGTGTGTTGGTGTGTGTGTGTGTGTGTGTGTGTGTGTGTGTGTGTGTGTGTGTGTGTGTGTGTGTGTGTGTGGCGCGCTCCGGGAAGAAATGCCCACATTCACGCTGTGGAATGTCCAGGTCAGCTCCCTATGCAACTTTTTAAAATGGTCCTGAGAAGATACGGGTGAATATTGCTGATCTGTAAAACTGCTGTCTTCCCAGGGAACTGGAGGGAAGGTTGTTGGTTTTCTTAAAGGAGCTGGTGTCCGCCAGGTGTCTGTATTTTTCTTAGCTTGTGGCAGCGTCTTGCTTGCCAAGGGGGTTAATAAACTTTGGGTCTCTGGGGTGGGAAATACTTCTTGCAGCCATCCTTGACTGATTTGAGTACGTGTGACATTTTTTTTTATTTGTTGATACAAATCATTGTCATCTCTTGTTGGAGTAGCAGTTCTTGAGGTGGAATACAAAGGTTTCTGGAAGCAGGGAAGTTACTGGGTAAACTTGAGGACGGAAGGTCAGTTATCTGCTGGCCCGGTGGCCTGGATGTTACAGGGAGAGGACAGAGGCCTGAGCTAGAGACGTCTGAGGGGTGGTTATTGTTTTGGTTAATGGAATGGAGCTAGTTTTTAAACTCTTAAAATGGTCGTGATTTTTAAATTAAAAGTAGATTTGGATTAATTTCTATAGGGATATATTTTGGTTAGGGGAAAGAGAACCAAATTGCCATCGTGCAAGTTTGTTACCTTGAACAATAAAAATTGAGAATATTTCATTTTGTGTTTCGGAGAGTATTCTGTATGACGGAGCTGTTTGTTTCCCTGTGTGAGGCATGAGGCAAAGGTCAGTTTTGTCCATTGCTGGAGAAAGAATCAAAGAAATGGAGCCGTGTTCCCCGAGGTGTGCTGCTTGTCTGATCTTGAGAGCGCCAGAGCAGACAGCAGCTTTCTGAACCTGGAGTTCTTCAGACTTGCAAATGGACAGTGGTTTCAGGACTTGACGCTGACTGACCGCCATGTCAAATATGAGTGATGGTTACACTGATTGGCAGACGGGATCCCAGCTAAGTGAGGTGCTGTGAATGGTTAGTAGCTGCTCTGCAGTCACTGGACGGTAACAACACAGCACCGTCTCCCAGGCAAAGCGGCAAATTACTCTATTGAGTTTATTGGAAACATCTTCTGTTGATGAAGCTTCTCGGGGAAGATGTGCCTTGACAGGCTTTTGAAAGTGGGTCACCTCCCCCTACAATATCCCCTGGTTTGTTACTTTCTGTAGACAAAGAAAAATCAGGGCATCTGCTTGAGGCTAGCATTTGTCCACTTCAAGTCCTTTATTAAAAGACCAGGTACCAGGGCTACAAGAGGACCTGCCTCGGGCCTATAAACCGCTGGTGGTATTTAGCCAGACCCGTGAGCTCAGCACTCAAGGTAGATTGACTGCCCCTCGGAAGCCTCTGGATGCTGAACCCCAGCAGTTAGCGGCTTCTCTGCCCACACTGCTGATGGCTGGGCAGCTTCACCCAGAAGCACAGACAGCCTCTTGGAGGTTGGGGACTGTGTCTGGGTGGTTGTCGACACCTTTTTGAAGTGGTCTTTTTCTGCACTGGCTGCACCCATGTGGTCTGGGGGCCTCGGCACTGTCACAGTCGTGTGATTGTCTCGCTGTAACCAAGGGCCACACCTTCCCGATCTGACGGTTTTGTTCTCCAAGTGGTCTTTTGAAGCGTTTAGTTTGAATGCAGCATTTTGTACCTTTCTTTTGGCAAAACATAGGTCTGTTTATGAGCATTTTTATATTTTCTTCCTTAAACGTGGCTTGTGTATTTCTGCTATAAAATATGGCAATAACTGAAGAGTGCTGCAAGGTGTGTTCTTAAGCAGAGGGTCTGTATCATGCAAGGGTCAATAAAGTTCACAGAAATAATTCTTTTTATAATTGTGTCTTGTGTGTAGAGGGGGAGTAGACAACGTTTGTGTCCCCTGCACCTCTGAATTTATATGTTGAGATCCTGAGCCTCAGTGTGATGGCATTAGGAGGTGGGAGCCTTTGGGGATGATTGGGTCATGAGGGTGGAGCCCTCAGGACTGGGATTAGTGCCCTGACTCCACAGCGATCCCTCACCCCTTCCACCACGTGAGGACACAGCGAGAAGGTGGCCATCTGTGAGCCAGGAAGTGGGCCCTCACCACATACTGCATCTGCTGGGACCTTGATCTTGGACTTCCAGCCTCCAAACTGTAAGAAAGATTATTTGTTTATAAGCCACCCAGTTGATGGTATGTTTGTTACAGCAGCCAGAAAGGACTGAGATAGCGGGTATCTCTGAAACTCCATCATCTGTTTCTGGCAGCTTGGGAGTGGTCTGAATCACCTACATGATTTGCACTTAGGTTTTCTTTGAAGTCACAGGGGGACACAGGTGTGAATCATAGCTGGGAGCAGAAGACTGACTTAGGAGACCACACCTTGTCTCCAAGCCTTGTAGAGGTGAGTGACAGGTGTGACTTTTGAAGGGAGAGGCTCATGATTCCGCCATCTCAGCAGCCCAGGGGACTGGAGTCAAAGGCTTCCCAGCCCCCTCCCTGCCCACCTTGCCCTCAGCCCCTTGTCTTCTAGAGCCCCTGATGGTCAGTCTTCCGGAAATGTTCTGCTTTCCCGGTCCCACGTTGGAAGAAGCAGAGAAAATAATCACATACGTATCAAAAATGTTGTTTGTCTTAAGAGAACAGACTCAGCAGCTCATTCACCCCAGCCCACAGTGACCAGCTGACTCCCCGACCCACCTGCCTGAGATTCAGTCAAAGAGAAGAGACGAGGTTGGTTGGTTTGCCTTAAAACTTCAGGATGCTGGATTGTGGCATGAGGTATTTTTATTCCCTTTTGTTAGTACTTAAAACCGTCTGTACAGACCGTAAGGCAAGTGATTCACACACATCTCGAGCTACTCATCGTCCATTTGTACGTTTCCACGAACGCCGGTCACAGCCCCCCCGGTCGGGGTGGCCCTGGGTGTCTTAGGTGAGGGCCCCCAGCTGTGGTGTGGGGCACTGGAAGGGAACCGTGTTGGATGGGTTGCCCCCTCTGGGGGCGGCATCAGGAAAGGGCTTAACAATACCAAGGGACTAGCAGCCACTCGATCCCCATGGAGAATAGGCGAACGGATTTTGACTAGTGGGCCCCAGCACTTACTGGAACCCTGTTCCCTGTGTTGTCCGACTATCAAGGATGTGCAGTGTCATATGTCCATACCCCAGGCCGGGGGGTGGTTTGGCGGGGGGTGGGGGGGACGGGGGGGGTGAGTATAAAAAGGAGAAAAGAATGCGGGGGGTGGGGGGGACGGGGGTGGTGAGTATAAAAAGGAGAAAAGAATGGTTTGTGAAGACAGGCACGATATATATACCACTATTGAGTGTGCACTTCCAAACCACAGTTGCAGTAGGATACAGGTACGATCACAGGAGCCAGGGGACTACGCACTGTGACTCAGAGCTCCTGCATCCACGAGAAGCTCAGACACGCTCCACAACGTAACACAGCACAGACGGCCCTGGTCACTGCCATACAGGTTCTCATGCTTGTGAAACATACAGCAAAACACCACAGCTTACTACCCTCCCATCGGATACACCACTCAGTACACCGATAGTCCAGAGGGCGCACTGGATTTCCGCTTCTCTTAACAGAAAACAACCCGCTATGCTTTGTAAATAGTCATCGCTTAAACAATTTGGTCAACTTGCGCCAAGAAGTAGGTCTGGGAACCAGCGTTTCACTGGAGCCTGCAGCCCCCAGTGGAACACAGGATGCTGCAAACTGCTCATTTATCAAAAAAGTAAATCCTACTAATTTTCTATCATCATAAAAGTAGAAAGAGTGAGAAAAAAAAAAATCTGAAAATGATCTCATTTGCTTAAGACTGCCAAGTGTATCAGAGACAAACAGTGGAAAATCCATTTTGTAAAATACAGCAGCCTCGAAATCAAAATCATAAGTTTATCAATCATCTTTTTAAAAAAAAAAAAAGAGCCCTTGCCCTGTCTTTTGGTTGCATGGATTAGTACTGACTTTAAGGTGCAGTTGCGGAGGGAAAAAATGTCATTCGGCACTCTATCCGTGACAATGTTTTAATACTGGCACAAGCTGACGACAGCCCACCGAGGGCATGACGGCCGAGACGCCACCCGCGTTGAAGGCAGGGGTGCGGTCCAGTTCCGATGAGAAATTAACAGCTGCGAAGACAAGGTTTAAAATGGTTCTGTGGAGACAGATGAGAGTCGCTGTGAAACCATGTATTATTTTGTTTTCCAGACAGACAGGTGTTAATTTTACTAGGCTTCATTAATACAGAAGAAAGAAAATGTCTTCCGGGAAAGTCGCCAATGCTGAAACAATCAACACATGTGTCCCATCCTGCCATCAATACACGTGAGATTCTTTGTGACTCAGAACGTGGGCACGGGAGGCCGAACTGGTGGCACTTCGGATCACCTCCATCCATCTAGGACAAGAAAGTGAAATAACTGTCAGGGGCCACTTTTTATCAGCCCGTGTCTCTGAAATCTGCTTTTCTTGTTTGTTACAGCTACATGACCCCTGGCGGTCGTTACTTAACAAAGCCCCAGCGTGACCTAATACTGCCTGGCGTAGAATCCACTTTTGTAGCAGGAGAGATCTCACATGAGCTCCTAGCTTCCAGGTAAAGGAAAGCGGGGTTAAGGCCTCCTCCAGGTACTCCTGAGGACCACTGACCGGGGCACGCTCATTCTGCAGACGCGCCCGAGGCGGGGCTGCAGCGCACACTGACAGTCTTTCTCAGGACAGTGGGGTGCGGCCCATCCTAGAGCGGGCTGCTGCCGAGCGTCCCCCGCCTGCAACAACACAGCGTCATCTGGTCTACCACGTACCACGTCAGGAGTGCCGGGGCAGGAGACCTGGGGCGGCCCAGCTTCCCACCTTTGTGGAGCTTAGAGGGCTTTAGAGATCCCTAATCCCAGGGCTACGTGCTCCCTGCCACAGCAGTGACGGCATCTCAGTTTTCCAGTCCAGGATCAAATTTGAGGAGTGCTACCCCCCCCCCCACCCCCGGGCTCCCTTTTCAACCAGTGTAGCTTGCTTAGGGCCCCGCTGCTCTGGGATGGATGTCAATGGCGGCTTCGACCCTGGTCTTAAACCACTGTGCTGTTTTCCCATGAACTAAATAACTTCACGTGAGTCTGTGCACGGATGACTGGCCCATTGATCGGAAACCCTCGTGGGTTTTCAGGAGAAGAGTTTCTCCCTCGGGGGGGTGGAGGCAGCTGCCCTGTCTGGTCTGGTGCCCAAGGACCACCCCTTGCCCAGGTGGACCACCCCTTGCCCAGGTGGTGGTTCGGCAGTGACACTGCTTTCAGAGCCTGCCCCAGGATGCGAGGCCCAGGATTTGTACTTGAATATGGTCACAGGGAGAGCCTGGCTCCTTCCCTTCTCGGCTAAAGGAAGACCACTGCCCTGGGTCTTCACACCACGGAGCCAGTCTCATTGGTAAGGTAACTATAAGAGGCACTAGGATTTTTTTTCCCTTCCTTATCTGGTCTTCTCACTTGAAGCTTACTTGGCCTTTTGGCCACGGGAGGAAGCAACTACTTGTAGAGCCATCGACTGGAAAGACACAAGTTAGAGATGGAAGAGTGTACCCCGTGTGGTGTGAACTAGTGTACAGGTTTGGGGCTGATGTGTCCCAGGGAAAGTCACGGTTCCACTGGCTCCTGTGAAAACAGACGTGTACTCGCATTGGGCACACACAGCCCAGGTCTTATGAAGCGCTTTCATTTTAAGCAAGTAGCAGGGTGAGAACAAGCCCCTTCTGCAAGGGAGTCAATGCCCAGGCAGCAAGTAGCTGCTGCTACGAGGCCTCATGCACTTGGGAGTCAATGCCCAGGCAGCTGCTGCTACGGGGCCTCATGCACTTGGGAGAAAGCCCGCTGCTCAGAAGGGCGTCTTTTCTCTGCAGGTGCCGTGTGTGTGGGGGGGGGGGGGGGGGGGGGGGGCAGAGACTAGTCTGCCGATGGAGCTTGCAGCCTGAGTACTGCCCAGAAACTGGAAAAGGACTCTAGAACATGTCAACAAGCCAAGTGTCAAAGGCAGGGAG